CGGCCTTTTGACAGATCCGCGTGCAGCTCTCTCCTGTGGTGGCATTTGGAGTGGTCCAGATTGTCTTTGTACCTGCGTCATGCTCTCTGAGGGTGGGATGGGGAGGGCTGGAGAACTCGACGGGCCACACCGCCCCTCTGGCCCTAGACCTGGGTGGGGAGCCCCCTCCTCCTGCAATCTGGCCAAGCTCGGTTGGACTCCCCAGCACCGAGAGGCTATTTATAACCCTGAGAATTGTGTGTTTGAATTGCTTCGACCTAATTCCCACTCGCTTTCTCAAATGAGATGGAAGAGCACAAGCAAGCGGGTGCTGGAAGGGTGCCCTCCCTCCGAGGAGGCCTTGCCCCCCGGGGAGTGCTACCTGCAGCAACCATTCTCCGTCCTCCCTGGCTTCTCACTGAGAAGGGCTGTGTTTTTCCTTTCCTTGACCTGGAGTCAGAGGTACTGGGTCTGATTTCCCAGCGAGACCAGGTGCACGCTCGCTGCCCCCTGACCTCAGCCCCCCAGTCTCTGCAGAGCCCTTGCTACGGGGCTGCCCACCCTGCTTTCACGTGGCTTCCGGAGAACTCCAAGCACTTGGGACCAAATCCCTGCTGTGCCACTGGCTGGCCACGTGACACTGAGCAGGCTCCTTCGTTGTTCCGTGCCTCTGCTTTCTGATCTGTGAAGCGGCTGTAATAGCGTAGCCACACGGGTGGCTCTGTGGATGAAATGAACCAGTGTGTGTAAAGCACTTAGAATAGGGCCTGTTACTTTTTCCGTATGTAAATGTTAACTGTTACTAGCATCATTGTCATACACAAAGTAGAACTGGTGTTGGGGTCAGAAGACCCAGACGTGGAGACCCTGATCTGATGGGCAATTTCTTTGTGTTTGTGGAGGGGGGCAGGAGCCTTGGTGGCGTAGTGGGTTGTACCGTGTGCTGCAAATCACAAGGTCAGCAGTTCAAAGCAACGAGCCGCCCCACAGGAGAAAGAGGACGCTTTCTATTTTCATGGAGAGTGACAGTCTTGGAAACCCCTAGGGGCAGGCAGTTCTAGTGTGTCCTATGGGGCTACTGTGAGTTGGCATTAGCTGGCTGGCAGTGAGTTTGTTGTGGTGTGGTGGTGGAAGACAGGGAACACAAGTTCCCAAGCCCATGTGAGCCTCAGTTGCCTCACCTGTGAAGTGAGGCATCACCTGGAATAATGCATAGACATAAGCCGCGCACGATAAAGAGGCTCTGCCCCACAGGACTGTGCTGTACCAAGCGGTTCCTACCAAGTCGTGTAAGTGATTCACTTTATACAAATCAGACTTAGCCAACTGGGCCCTGCTCCTCATCCACTCGGCCAGTGTGCACGGAGGGCCTACTTGGTGCCATTGTCCTAGGCAGAGATGCCACCGTCTGCTCAGCCCTCCCCAGCAGAGTTCTGTCCAGACGTGGTGTCTCTCTGCCGCAGGCTGGATCTCGTTGCAGTCTCTCTGCCGCAGGCTGGATCTCCTGGCAGTGAGCAGAAGTGCCGGC